ACGGATAGACAATATCGCAGGCTATAAAGTATCGTGCGTAGATGGAGCAAATCCGGCAGTCTTCATCCGCGCAGATGATGTGGGTGTAGATGGTACTATCCTTCCCAACGACTTCAACAAACTTCCAGACAAGCTTGGATTACTCGAAAACATACGGAAAGCTGCAGCAGTGGCAATGGGAATTGCAGCAACAGAAGACGAGGTACCTCGGACTATTCCCAAGATCGGCCTTGTGTCGCAGTCATCCACTCATCCTGTACTATCCGGAAAAACACTTCAGTCATCGCAAATGGACATTGTCCTCCGTTTCCTCTCAGACACACAACCCCATCGGGCTATCCCATTGACTGCAGCATTGACAACAGCGGTCGCTGCTCGCATACCTGGGACCATTGTTGAGCAGATGCTAGCCCCTGACCCTTTGATGGAGGGTGCGATCACCATTGGTCATGGCAGTGGACGATTGCAAGTCAATGCTACCATGGACGAAACGAACAAGCTCATTCCAGTTACCGGTACCGTATATCGGACAGCTAAGAGGCTATTTGAGGGGGAAATTTTCTGGACAGACAACGTTGATGAGACTTCTGAAGCTGGCACTGTTTACGACAGCAACGGTCGACACTCTCTCGGTCTAGCATTTGTACTTGAAAATAGAAGACAAAGCTCGTTTCATCTATTTGAGGAAGATGAGCATCAGAAACAAGAAGAAGCAAGTGAGCAAAAGCAAGTACCCGAGATCGAACAAGCCGAAGATTGCGAAAAAGAAGCAAAAGTGCCAGGACTCAGCTACCGACCGCTTGCTGATCCTAATCGAAAGAATCTTTTTGCATCTTTCCCGGAGCATCCTGACACACCACTCACATCCGCTCTCCGAAAACTCCATGCGCAAACTACACGCTTACTTTCTGACCCGGATCTCACAACCCGTGACTATCAACCAGAGCTTCCAGGTACTATCAGGCATGTGCAGCTTAAACTATTATTCGCCACTCGTACGCAGCAGGCGACAAAGGAGAAGGCTAGCGAGAAGACGAGGATACGGATGGAGAATATGGAGAAGAAAGCGAAGAAGAAGGCGGACAAAAAAGCAGCGAAGAGAAAGTTGCACGACGAGAGAGAAGCGAAGAGGAAGAGAAAGGAGGCTTTGTTATTTGAGAAGGCTCTTGAGAACAAGACTGGGAGTGCGAGAAATCAGGAGGCAAAATCAGGGTATTGGTCGCAGTTCTTGCCTTAAGAAAAGAAAAACAGTAACGATTCATATGAAATCGTGATCGGTTTGCCATCTCCCGAGTGCTTCTCATATTCCAGTTGTATGAAATATTCTTTCCCATTAAAGTCACCCATTTTATCTATTATGTTCACTCACCCAACCTAATGTCGTTATAGCATGTCTTATGTGCACTTCGTTAACATGAGCTTTTGTCTACTATATCACGGTATGTACTATGAAAAGAAAAATAGTCAAACGGTGTCACCGATGTATTTCTCAGTTGCCCAAGAGTAACTATTCATATTCAACGAAAGTCATAAATATTTCGATAATTAGGGTTTATCAATCCGATCTAGATACGTAGTTGCTTCGTCAACTCAGGAGCAACACGAGCTTGTGACGTGTTATGATCTTATACAGGTTAAATTATTTCCTCGCCATATTGTTGATATCACTAAATCCAATGCCTTTTTCCAAACGACTTCATGAGAAATGTGCTACCAACACCAAAGAACCAAAGCAAATCGGCAGGTTCATCGGAACAATCCGGTTGAACTCCAAGAACTGGTGATGGATCTTCCGTTTCCTCTCCTTCACGACTTCGTTGTGGAGACCAAATGATACAACAATGTCTTCGCCATCGCCACGCCATTTCGACATTGCAGCTTCATTCCAACCCCTCCATTTGATATATCCCTTGCAACCTCTTTACTCCAATTACTGTATTTAGCCTTGGGGTACCAGTTATCGTATGATCTCTCACACCATAAATGTAGTACGTACATGGATAGTACTATTCCCTGCTAGCCTTGGCCTATCCTCACTCGCCACCAGAACATCCGACACACTCACTTGATACCTGCTGCATGGCAACTCCCATGACCCCAACATCTCGCATTGCCTTCTCTTCTTATCATCACACCAGCAGAATACAATCTCCACTCGACGCCCCACTCCCATAGCCACTCCCCCATTCCGTTTCTGTCCGCCTCTACTACAAACACCCCATGTCTCGCAAGCGAATGAACCCAGCAAGTATGCAGATACGAAAGTGAACGCCGATGAAGACCCTAGCCTTACATCCTAAACCAGATGAACGCGTCATCTTCCCTGACGACGATGATTAATGTAAAGAACTAGTAACAGTCAAATACATACATGCTGCAAGACCCTGCGCAGCTCTTTTCGGGCCGTTGTGCATGTTCATCACATTGCATGCATACACTAGAGTTGTTATTACTATAGCATCAAGATTCCTAGAAATAAAGTGGGGTGAGGCAAGTTATCATGACTTGAACTAGCCCACCTACATCCCTAACGACGCGCCAATCCCACTCCTAAAGAAGCATCGGGAGGCCAGGGTCCCAAATCCATCAGGATCATACTTTTTCAGGTTTTCCGACTAGATAGTCGGTCGGGGGTATATCTTGCGTCGCTTTTTTCCTTGACTGTCGTTGGGTCGCTGCATGCAAGGATGTCATGTCCACCCCATACCCCCTCCTAGTCCCCACTCGACGCAAGGTGATTAAAGTTGCCTTTCGGGCCGCGCTCTGGGGCTTAGTATGCACGCAAGCGTGTTTTGCATTGCCGCGCAAGGCACGGTAAGGGACACAGGACGCTTTAAACGCAAATCATTCCATGTGGGTCGTTGATATAGCTGGGGGAGGAAGAGTTTTAGTTGTAGTCGTTGTTGCTAAGGATGATACTAATGTACGACCGTAAACGGAGGTGGTGAGGACTCGATGCGAGGCGTAGAGAACACGATCGGTGTCCGACGTCAATGCTCTCAGGTGATTACTGCTTTGGACAGCGAGGCACCCAATCCGGTATCTCGAAACAGGGAACCAATGCATGTGACTGCATTCGACATTTGTACTTTGGCCTCCTCCTTTCTGAGGTCACGACACCATGCAGGATGCTCCCCCACAATGCCATGTCCCACCACTTGGGGCTATGCCCTTCAGCCAGCCGTGCGCCAGTCTCGTCTCTTGTTATCGTCCTATTTCCCGCAGAACCTAAGATAAGACCATTATCAAGGTCATTGCCTGCAACACCTCGCTCACCCTATCTCCCCCAAAAGCCACAACCTTAAAGGAGGGTAAAAGTGTACAAACTAAACGTTTAGGGGGAGGCACGGTAATGCAGGAAGGAGAAAAAATAGCCTAAGCCCAATATCGTGGCGCCCATCAACCAGCTGCAAGCGAACCCCATTAACTTTTGCCCATGTGCAGCCATCGCAATCCAAGACTTCCAGAAATACCGATCAGCCTAGGGTAGGAAGAAGAAAACAAGCATTCAAGAGACACCGTAAAACAAAAGTAAATCTCACCATCCCCCCACATCTTAGACGTTCCACACAGTCTGTGCTTCCTAAGCCCTACCTACACTCTATTTCCCACGCTAACTACACCTGCCATAAGCCCAAAACTCTAAACCCGCAAACAAATAGAAGAGATAATCAAGGCCCCCCATTTCAAATCTCGATCTTGATCGAGACCGAGATTCAAAGCTATGGAAGGGTAAAGGTGAACCAAAAAAAACACGCAAAAAAAAGGGTCAACAATTGCGAAATAACAAGGGAAGAACGAGCAAAGGGTCCTTTTTTTTCCTGCAGGGTCTTCAGGGTCCTTTCATTGTCCCGTTACCTCAACCCGTTCCCGTTGACTCTGATTAACCTAACCTCCACGTTTTTTCCCCATCATCTTTATCATCCATTTCTTCGCATCCCCCCCCTCCCCCCGGGGGGAGAAGTTTTTCTTTTTTTGACACTTCGGCTCTACAGTATCCGTCACATACGTATGCCAACCAGCCATCAAACACGCTGCATCTCCGCCCCCCCCCCTTTTCCAAACGCAACCGCGCGCGCGTGGAGTCTCGCAGTCGCCGGAGGAAACGTCGCAGGACAAAAGGCCCAAGCTAGAAGAGCCCCCTCCCCCCCAAAAAATTTAGACTTTCCGTGACAATTAAAAAGAAAAGGCGCAAGTAGATGCTGGGGTATGTGCACGCAGCACAGCACGGGCGTTCGGTCTCCCCAGATCGCCGACTGTACATTGAACTCACGGTGCAGATATATTCCTGTGCGTTTTTTCGTTTGCTTTGGTGTCTTTGCTTTTTTTTCTCCGGTGTAAGGCGGGCGTGGGGGGACTTCGGAGTGTTGCGGACGTGTGCATGCGGGATAAAAGAAAATGGGAGTGGATGCTGCTAGGTGGGAGGGTGCTGGGTATGGGGGGGAGGTTTTGTGGGGGTAGGTAGATTAGATAGATGTGTATATATGTATGTGAATTATGTAGATGTATACTACGTAGATAGTTGTATGCGGATTGCTTACTATGGTGTTATTATTACAACGGCTATAACTACCATTACAACTGCTATACTGTGTTGATAAGGGACATAGAAGAAATACGAGGCATAGCTGAAAGGGCAAAATGCACCATTTCCTCTTAGCGCGACGGCAGTTAAGTTGTGGGATGTGTTCATTGACCGATCACTTTTGAACTTTGTTCTTTGTTCCGATAAACGTTTGCCGTTAGCTGTACATTTCACTAAGGTCCTATGAGAATTTATACTTTCCTACACACGGCTATGCTTTGGAAGTTTGGCACCTCGCAACACCCGCTAATTCCGTTGTCCTGGTCGCGGCTATATGTATGTACCAGTGCAGGTACCTCCCCCGCACGTCTCTTTTCTAGACTGCTGGGTGCTGCCGGGTGCTGGTGCGAACTCTGTAATACCGGTCAAAGGGCGCCGATCCTGCAGAGTAGTAACAGAGTTTGAAATATGCATGCGCGCATGCGCAACCTTTTGCTTCCCTAACACATGCTATTTTGTTTCCTCCATCATACGACTTTTGTGATTTCCCTGTTCCACCTGTTAGATCGGTAAAATATCAAAATACGCTTAACATTGGGCAAAAGAGACATAGTACCTCCCCTCAAGTCACTAAGATTCGACTAAAGTACACACAGCCGAACCCTGGATTCAAACTCTAACGCCCCTAACGCTCTGTAAATGGCAAAAACATATTCCCTTCCCGAATGCCTTGCCGCACGCCTCAATATCATTTCAACGTTCGGTTGCATGTAAAGTACCCTCCAGCACCGACTAGCGTGCGCATGCCGAAACCCAGCATTGAGGCCCCCGCAGTAACTCACCACAGACCACCACCCAGAAATCACATGCCTATGAAAAAAAAAGAGGCGATCATCACCAGTCCGGAACCTTGCGCAAATCCATGTCTGCCCATCCAGCAGTCCTGTAGTCGAGCAAGTATGCATCAGGTGGGTAAGAGCCCCTCGCTGGAACGGAGCGGTCGATCGTGGTTTGTGCGAACCTGTCGGGCAGTCTGACAATCGCGGAGAAAGACACAAACACGGGAAAGGGCGACGATGATGTGACTTGCAGGATCGAGATTGTCTAGATTTTGCTGACAGTCGGGGACATGTCGAGCGCCGGGCATAAAAATGTGCCGGCATTAGTAGCAGGATCGTCTCTAGACCGCCTATGGTACGGTATGTGGACCTGGGGCAAGCTGAGATGAAGATGCACTAGACTAATAGGGCGACCTCCGTGGCTTAGCCTAGTCTTTCTATTTGCAACTAGTACTGAATCAAATCGTGTCCTTGATACAAACTGCACTTGTCATTCAATACGAGACCTGAGGTGCCCACGCTCAACTCTCGTGTCTCTGTCAGCTATGGCGACATTTACGTCTAGTTTATCCATATTCGTACGAACGCCACTCTGACCGGATGCAAGACATATCACGGAGGTACTGCACGTTGCGCAACCCTGATTTGCGCTAGGTCAACAAGTTTGACGACCATATAAAGTTCGCACTGATGCAGGCTAAAATCACACTAGCCCCATGAGCTCGCATCACATGGCGCAGCGAACGCAGCGAGTGCCTCAGTGTGGCGTCGTCCTCAGCCAACACGTCAAACCGGATTGACAGCGGAATTGTTTTGAGCACCTGCCACGTGTCTTAGCGAGTAAAATATACGATTAGTCTGCATATAATTTCACTAATGCAAAAGTAATGCGACACCACGTGATGTAGCAGTGACTGAACCACTAGTTACGGGATCCCGGCCTGCGATCTGCAGATCATCGTAGTGCCCGTAATATGTCATTAGGAAGAAAGAGCAAAGTCGTGATGGTGACCTTAACGCCAAAACCGCCATGAACGCCGAGATCTGTGTGTTGACTGACCACTGTTGAATCAATCGCCGTCTCTGTTCTAGTCGACAGGAGCGTGCTTGAAGAGGAAGCTAACACTCTCTCCATTGTGGGTACGTCTGCAAGCCTCGGCAAGCTGTTATTCATAATCAGACTCTGAATTTAACCGTTCAGTAGATTATTAGCCACTTACAGTTGGACTGATGTCGATGGTTTCGATGCGGTCGCAAAGTTCTTTCTTATCTTCGTGGGGAACAGTGTTGGTGACAACAATCTTCTTGAGCTTGCTGCCATTGAGGGCCTCAATGGCATTTCCACTGAGAATACCATGTGTGACAATGGCAAGCGCATCCTTGGCGCCCTCGGAAATCAGCACGTCTGCTGCTTTGACAAGTGTGCCACAAGTGTCGGCCATGTCATCAACTAAAATTGCCGTCTTGCCGCGTACATCTCCGACCAGCACCATTCGTGAAACTTCGTTGGGGCGAGTTCGCTCCTTGTGAATAAGAGCAAATCCAAGATTCAAGCCATCTGCTATTGAAGTTGCCCTGCCATTGGTCAGCACTGCTATTCACTGGAGCCTAACAAGGGGGGGAAAGAGGGGTTGTTCTTCCCGCCCACATGATGCAGTGGCGCGTTGATGTATCACACAGCACCCTTGCAAAATGGCGCGCTTAGGTGGTTTGCACCATGAACTGCTTGAGATCTTTGACGCTAACATCAGGAGGATCTTACCTCTTTGCGCCGCCTGCATCTGGACTGACAATGACACAGTCCTTGACGTCTAGGTTCTCGCGGATCCAGCGGAGCGTGCTTGGCTCGGCATACAGGTTATCAACAGGGACGTTGAAAAAGCCCTGAATTTGGCTAGCATGGAGGTCCATTGTGATGACATGATTGCAACCGGCGGTCTGGAGCATGTTCGCCATGAGCTTTGCTGTGATTGGTGCTCGAGACTTGTCTTTCTTGTCCTGACGAGCATAGGGAAAATTTGGAATCACTGCAGTGATGCGGCGGGCAGATGCCGTCTTGCAGGCGTTGATCATGATGAGCAGTTCCATCAGAGCATCGTTGATATCGCCTGGTGGCGTGGATTGCAAGATGAAGACTGTAACATCGTAAGTTAAGGCCCGCCAGACATGGATATGCTGCATAATAGGAAGCAGTCCATACCATCTTCATCTCTCACAGATTCGCCAATGGTCACGGAAGTCTCCTGGTTCGAGTATTGAAGTACGAGAATTTTGGTGAGTTCTATGCCTAGTCTGTGACGACATTAGTGACGCTGCACCAACATGTTTCATCAATGTCGGAGCGTTTTTTTTTGCTCGCACAGAAGCAAACCGGATTTAAAAATATATTGCGTCGTTGTTGTTACATCCAAGGCTGATCTGCAATAGTCTCATAGCAGATGGAGATGGCCGCAAGTGTCCACACCTAGTTGTAGTCCCAAGAAGCACCGGGAAGCAAGGACTTGAACGTACCGGTCAGCCACAAGGCGGGCAAGCTCGGGATAGCTGTTGCCGGTCAGCAACTTGATACTGTTAGTAGCCATGGTGGTGGTAATGACGGCGAAAGAGAATGCTGCCGTCTTAGATATGTCACGTTGTCACCGAAGGCCAAACTTTTTCACACAAAATGGCGGGCACGGGCCATGCGGAGAAAGGTGCCGCCGAGGGGAGAGCCGACCATGTGGTCGCGGCCGACGATAGATGAACCCCCGCGATTACAAACCCCTTCGTCCTCAGCATTTCGAAACCTTCAAACCGTGGCAAGAGGTATTGCGACCCAATTTACATAACATTCGGTCAGCATTTCCATGGCCATCCGTGTCGGGTGGCTGAGGTGTGCCGCTCGTTGGGCCAAGGCGAGTTCGCCCGCTTTTAGTCTTCTTCTGAAACTCGGGAAGCGGCACACGGCTGCATCTCTGTTTGCTGGTGCTCTCTACACCTAGGCCAGGGCCTACGTAGACGTATAATGTCTTTCCGAAAAATAATCCAGATCTGATGTCAGCAGCCATGTGGCAACTGTATACGAAGGTAAACAGGCACGCATGAAACTTAATGCCAATGCTGTAAGCAAGTGCATAGAAGAGCATTTTTCTTTGCTTGTAGCTTAGTAGTCCGTGCAAGTTCCCTTTTCCCAGTCTCCTTTTTTTTTTTACAAATTCCTGCCCCACCATATTTCCGTTTTACCGACGTTTTCTACAACGTCACAGCGCCGTTGAAACGGGCTATAGCGATTATCTTATAGCCCTTATAGCCAAGGCCTCGAGCCTCATCATGTTGGGAACGTATTTCAATGAAACCATCCCGTGCATTGTATACTTACTGCCTGCTATGACTGGCTATCTTTACAAGCCGGTTATGCGATAGTATTGCTACAGTTGCTGTCACAAAGAGTCTGAACCTGAGTGGTTGCTGAAATGTGATGAGAAATCGACCTGCCGACGCGATGGTGCTCCTTCCTTGTGACGTCTAAGGGGGGGGGGGCTTTCGGCACGGCGGTGTTTCGTGCCTCGCTTCGAACAGGCACAGCGCCACAAGTGCATGTTTGCATGTTTGACGAGAGGCAATAACGCTTGGCTCAAGATACATATGATTCTCGATTCATGAACCCATGCGGGGTTGTAGCTCAATACATGTATGGTGTCCCAAAATGACACCCGTCTGCCGTCTGCCGTCGTCCAAGCTCCAAATACGAAACAAGCCCCTGACAAATTCGTCGCCATTTTCGAAATGGCAGAGTTAGAGAAAGTATTGATGTGCAAAAGAAAGAAAAAGAACACCAGAATGTATAGAAAGTAATGTGCAAAAATAATGTGCAAAAAGTTGGGTATACATGCCAGCGTGAAGAATGAAGGCGAAACGTTGGCGTGTGAATCTTGCCGCCAAACGTTTGAACAAAAAAAAGTCGAACCAGTCCAACAAGGAGAGAAGAAAGTATTAGGGAGGGTAGTTCCAAAGGCCGTTATGGTACAAACATAGGAAATCGTGTGACGAAAGCGGTATAATTAAGGGTATGCCACCCGGGAAGGAGACATGATCGAAGGTGCCATTGGGCGGTGTGTAGTGTGCGCGTCCTAGCAAGTTTGTTCACACATCTTGCCGATCGCCTTCTCAATGTCCGAGAATAGGTTGAGAACATGTCCATCAGCGTAGATCTTGATAGATTCAGTCTCCTTTCGTTGGGATCGCGCGGGACTGTCCATTTTTACAGGACTCCGCGGAGGGGTGGCTTCGGCAACTTGATCACGGGAGCTAGGGTCAAGGACGATAGCAGCAGCTACATGCTCAAGCAGCTTCTGGCGTAAGCGAAGGCGACGGTTTTCGGCCTGCTCCAGTTTTTGGATGAACTCGTCGATGGACACATCCAACTCGGCTAGCGCCTCTTCTTGCTTGAGTAGGGATTCGCGCGAGAAGATAACTGTCTCTCCACGTCGCAGATAGGCAATCATACGACCATGAAGCTTCTGACGGCCTGCACGCAGCGACTTGTAAGTCTTGCGGAGATAATCGCAGCGTTCGTCAAGTGCTCGGAGTTCCTGTGATTATGTTTAGTGCTAGTTCGTCTACACATGATTTGCAAACAACTCACTCTTGATAACGATGCTACATCGCGCTTGTTGAGGACTTCGAAGTTACCTGCCTGGTCGTAGGCTTGCTTGTGGAGCAGCCTCTTGTCGGCATCACTGATTCGCCTTGAAGCCTCAGATACGCGCATGCCTTGGGGAAGCTTCCAAGAATCAGGTATAGCCTCGGGGCCGTTGGTTTCAGACATGGCACGCGGCCGGTCTTTTTTGCTGTTACGGCATTTTGGCCGACCTCGATCCATGATAGATGATTCTGACATGTTGCGGTTGTGGGGGAAGGTTTGTGTAGCAATGGGATCTCTTCTCTCTGTTCGTGGTGAACCTCGGGCTGATGCAGGCGAAGATGCATAAAAGGGATTGGTAAAGGTGGATGGTGGTGTGGGAAGGCCCATGCTGCCGTTTGGCGATCGTCGGAGGTCAATGGCACTCAACGGAGTACCTCCGCCTGAGCTGATCGACGCGGGAGTGGTGAGTTGTGATCTGCTTGCTTTTGAGTTGAGGACCAAGGGGGTTGGGGAACCCTTGCGCTCGGTAACAGGAGACTTTGGAGGCACTTGGGGCGGGATTTCCCAGTCTTCTTCAACAATGTTGTCGGTCTCAAGTTTGAGCAAAGGCCTAGGGGTCGCACCAGGGCTTAGAATGGGAGACAGCGGCCTGCCGGAGATGGCGGGCAGTTCTGAAGTAAGCGGGGCGGTAGTGTACTGAGTCTGGACGGGAGAAGGGCCGGTAATGCAATCCATCATGGCATCGCCGAAAGGACCAGAGCGCCAGTTAGTACCTGGAGCACTGCAAGAGCGCTCGTGGCCAAGCACTTCATATGAAGGCTTGCGGAGAGGAGGTCTTCCCGGGATGGTTGCTGAAACCAAATGTCAGCAATTGGACGGATAGCCAAGAGAGAAAGCATTTGGACTTACGTGAATCAAGGGGCATCTCTTGGACGGTCGTCATGGTGCTTCCGAGTTCAGGCACACTGACTTTGCGTCTTCGTGATAGGGAGCCGGTTCGTTGCCAAAAAGGCAGACTATTCTCGGAGAGGAGAGCAGTGTCACTGAGCGAAGTAGGGGAGCGGCCAGCAGCAAGGGCAGTGACCCTGTCTGCTGAGTGGCTTGTCTTTGAACCGAGAGCTGGGCTCTTTGCTGAGAGCCAAAGTTGGTACTTGGATGGTGCCTGTTGGGTGGGAGGTTGAGAAGATAGTGGTGGACTCTTTGCCTGGGTGGTGGCTGGCGAGAGAGAATCCTGGGGGGCCTGAAGATCTCTGAGTGAGCGAGAGCGCCGGGGCAGGTGGTAATTCATTGGGATGGGATAGTGGAGGGGCGAGTGGAGCGGGACGACGTACCATTGGGGACGAGGATGTTTCCAGTGTTATATAAACAGAGGTGTGGTCGGGATCGGAGCGCATGCAGTTTGCTATGTGTGTCATGGTGGGCGTTTGAGCGCTGTGGCTCACTTGTCTGAAGTACAAGGTTGGTGAGACTCGGAAAGCGGGCACGTCAAACATGAGGGTTTTCCCTGCATGTAATACATATGTGGTAAAAAAGGCACTGCAGCGGGTTAAGGGTAGGTCACAGGCGCTAGTAGTGCAGCAACGAACAAGGCCCCTGCTACGGCGCAGCGTACCAATACCAGCGTCCGTGTCTAGGCTGTCGGCGGCGCGTCCCAGGTGGGCCTGGTGGGCGTTGGGATGAAACGAGCACCTAACCTCGCATGTCTGGCGATTCGTGGGGAAGACTATATCGTCACGCAATTAAGGCCCAGGGTGATCTGCACGATGTGCAGCACGGCACCAGGCACCGCCATCGACCAGAGGCCGTAAGGGCCGTGGCAGAGAGGGCCGTGTCTTTTTTGGAACGAGGCATGTAGTGAAATACGGGCGGATAGGGCCGGGTGCATGTACGTGCTAAGGACATAGATAGATGAGTACATGCCAGTGTGTACTTGGAGTAGCGCAGTATGTACCAGCAGCAGCAGTAGTCCCAGCACGGCCGCCTGCCGCGGTCGACGTTGAGCCACTTAGTCAGACTCTCGCAAAGCCGCTGTTTGTGCAGCAGACGACGGACGGTTGATGCGAGGTGGGGGGGTTGTGGACCAAACAGGCATGAAAGCCGGCCGACGTGGTGCAAACAGGCTGAGGCAGCTGGCGGCGACCGACCTAGTGGCTCTGACGACAATATGCCGAGGAGGCCAGGTCATGGGCCATGGGCAGGCGAGTGATGCTGCGATGGTCTTGGAGTCGGGAAAGAAGGAAAACATGTGCCCTGTGCTGCGCTGGACGGTGGTCGTGTGTCAGTTGGCGTGGGTGGGTGGGTGAGTGTATGGGAGGAGAGATGAATGGATGGATGGATGGATGAATTGGGCATATGGAGGCGTGTGTGTGTGTGTGTGTGTGTGTGTGTGTGTGTGTGTGTATGTGTGCATGTACATGTGCGTGAGTGTGTGTGTGAATGTGAATGTGTGTGTGTGTGTGGGCGAGTGGCCGTCCTGGGCACACCCGTTCTAGGACGCCCCTTCCCTCCCTGTGGGTTGGCCCCTTCCCTCTGGTCGCGCGCAGCAGCAGCAGGAGCGTTGGAGGCAGCGAGCTGGGGGGGGGAAGAAGGAGCAATGGTGCCAATGGTGCGCGCGTCAGGAACGACGAGGCAGGCGTGGGAAGCGAACGTTTAGCACGCTTAGCAAGCCCAGACAGGCCATGTCTATTGGACGCGGAATCGGGGCCTCGTGGCAATCCCAGCCGGCACCTCGACGGGGGCATTGCGGCATACCCAGGTATACCCAGGCACAAGCACGACTCGACAAGACTCGACTCGACTCGTCAAGACTACACACGAATTTTCTAGACTGCGCGCAAAGCTTATCGCCGCCCGTCGTAAGTCCACACTGCCCGCTCCTCGAAGCTGATGAGAGCTGGAGCCCCGAGCCCGTCGGCGCGGCCACCTGCACGGCATCCTCCATCCATCCATCCATCCATCCATCCTTTAGTCTCTTGGGCGCTGCTCGAGGGTGAGGGCAACCAACCCCACATGCAGCATGCCGTCGTCGTGTATGCAACGGCGAGCCACACACACCTCCTCACGTGCGACTGATGCTGCTGCACCACCTCCGCCTCCACCATCCACGTACGATTGCCATGTCTCTTGCTGCTGCTGCTGCTGCTGCTGCTACTCCTGCTCCTGCTCCTGCTCCTGCTCCTGCTCGTATCAATGTACTTAGCAGTCATGTTCACACCATGGCCATGGCTAATAACAATATCCACGATACTCCTCCACTCTCATCTCCAAGCGAGCCTGCCTATTCTACTCGACCGGCACACCCTCATCAAACCGCCCTTTTGTCTGCACGCTGTACCATCACGTATACAGTAACTCGACCATCGCTTGTCCGTACCCGACTCGCGGCCGGTAAAGACGATCAGTTCCCACCTATACTACAAGCTGGCTTCACATCCTCCTGCAGGCCTCTCTCGTCACCAGCCCCCGCTACCCCCTTTGCGTCTGCTCATGGCCACTTCCCTTCCCAATCAAGCCCCGGCCTGTGGCTTGCCGACTCCGCTGAACGGCTGCATGGGGGGTCGCCAGCAGCCAAGCCTTATGTGGACCCTCGACACTGGTTCCGCCATCTCTAAACTTTGCGCCATGCCACCACCCATGCCTAGCCATCTTTTTGTTGCATGCTCTACACATGTACATACGTACATACTCTACAAAACAGGAACCTGCCTTGCTTGTGTGCTCTGCACATCCGGCCCGCACATGCCCCCGCCCAAATCTCCTGCCCGCCTTGATTTGCACTCATGTACTATAGGTGTAGTACACTACGTATGTATGTACATACTTGCCCACTTGAGTCTTCTCTATCAGTGGGCCCATTTTCGTCATGGGCCAAGCAAATACCTACTCCAACTCTGCTCTGTCTCCGGCCTACCACGCTCGCTAGCTCGTGCGGTGGCTGCAAAACCAACACTGTGTGGCCGGGCATCAGCAACCCCCACGAAACATTATGCACTCGCACTTGCCCACATGTGACTTACAATGCAACAATCAAATCACTCATCATCATCTTCAAAGACAAAGCGTCGTCACGTCCATATGTGCTGGACCTATACCTACAGCTTCACTTGCTAATTCCCGCGTCCCGTCTGCACACATGCAAAGCATCCTCGACGGTCACGCCAAGCAATGCGCGACGCATCCAATTGACCAAAGGATTGCGGCACGAGATCCCACAAATATTTTGCGCAAAGTCGACATCATCCGATGTCCGTCCAATTCAGCTAGTGCTTTTCCTGTTCCTTGTCAAAAGCAAATCAGTACGCGGTTCGTCTTGCTGCTTCCACATAGGCCGGGTCGTCTTCCCCGACAAAACGACATCTGGGTTTCATCCCACCCTCTCTTGACTCTTCTGAGCCGAGCCTGCATCTCACCACACTCAGTGCGTTCGCAGCAAAGGAACAGCTTTCGTCATGTGCAAACAGCTCGACCATCACGCCAAGCATCATTTCCTGTTCGACTGCCGCCTGATTGCTGATTGTCGTCACATAGACTTACATCTGCGCCCATGGAGACTATGTACATCTCTCTACTCCTCCACAAGCACAGCGCATTGCACCCATTGAGGAAAAAAAGGGTTCTTAGTGATTAAACAGAACATGCGCACCTACATGCACCGGTCTGATAATGGAATTGCATGGCCATGAAACACTACGACGCAAACCTGATTATAAGGGTGTCATGATAGTATGACCATGCGACTTTGAGTGTGTTGAACCACAACAAACCACGGTTTATTAGCCGACCTCGTGGGATAACCTGCCCGCAGTGCCAGGTACCCACACACGTGTTGCTATAACGCTCATCCTTTCCACTTGCCACAACTCGCTATCGACTCTAGAAACGATCTGCGATGTCAAGCCGGCCGACTACATTCATTTTCAAGGTCACGTCGACCAACGTTGGCCCACTCGGAGTATACATATGACAGTTGACTATATCATAGTGCACAGAGAACACATGAGTCGGAGCTAAGCCCTTTGGGCATTGCACTCTCTTACCCCTCACTTTGAAGCTGCAGGGGCACTGTTGATCTGGTTTCGTTGTCACTAGATTTTGCACGCCTATGTACATATGTATGTACGGATGCAAGGTTACGACTGCAGCGAGACCCAACCTCTGTTACTACAAACCGTTGGGCTCACCGCCTCTCCCATATGTCTGCCAAGACATCTTCTGCCTCATCACGTCGGCCCGACATCCTCTGCTGCTGTGATAATGATTCTGTAACGAGCAAGACGTAGCTTCACATCGAATATTGCATCTATCCGGCAAAATCGGACTCTGGCCCTCCGTTGACCACCATTGCTGGGCTCCGGTCACATGATTGTTACCAGCAACACACAATGTAAATTGTTTGCTAGGTCTGACACAGATTCAGCTGAGGGGACGTTATCCAGCTGCGATTCTAGATCCCGCAATAGGTTTCAAGGCATCCACTCCACGTGGTCAGCCAGCCATCATACCCACCATGTCAACGGGAGCCGGCGTGGCGCTTAGAATATCCCAAATCCTTCACCCGCCAATCTATCGTATCTGCAGATTGCAGTTTTCACCAGCATGAGAAGGAGCTGTGTGTAAGCTAATCGCAGGCTGTAACACACTGGGTGCGGCTTATCGCTTATCGCTTATCCCATCAGGTACCTTTATTTCAATCTCTAACCTCCTAACTCCAACCGTCCCATCGCCGGATACACACGGCTCACACTCCTTCATTTTCCCCACACAGCAAGCCCAAGTGTCGCATCCGCACCGCATGTATATGGTCATGTCGCGACCTTGCATCGAGGATCCAGCTGCAGGAATTCAGTCCTTTTGACACTAGCGCCAATCAATCACACGGGTTAATATTGTACAGAATCAAACCATGGAACCGTGTTCATACCCGGACATGCTTTGGTTCCCGTGCTTACACGATACTTACTCTTCGGAAGCACGTGATTGTCTGTCCCTGAGCTGACTCCAATTTTCAAAAAGTTTGGCCTTGCTGTGTTCAATCAATCCCACTCGGCCTTAGTATTGGTTGTCACAAGGAGACCCTTGCATATGCAACTAACATTTGGACCACATGGTGAGGCAACTACCTTACATGCTCGATGGTAGTCGCCAACTTGTAAATACGGAGATGCTGCCAGCATAATGGTAGATTGGAATAACTAGAATTACCGATATACGAACGCAAAGCCCGTCTTACTCTACTCCCAAGACAGTGCAAAGAATTGAAATTGCACTACTGACGGATTCATTTTGTAGAAACGGACCGAAGAGCTAAGACCCACCGGGCCCGCGGCCTTATCCCTTTCAAAATAACAAACTATTCAAGGCCGCACAAAAATGCGCTGGAACGCGCCGGTCTGCCATGGAGTTCCAAGATCTCGAACCGGGAACACCCTGTTCGCCCAGACCTCAAAGCTGCATTATGAGCCTCATTCATCTAAGTATATGAACCAAATAAATGAAGGACATACCTAATTAGGCGTTCGCATGTTCTGCTTTCTCTTTCCCTATAGCTCATGCCTAGATACCAAGTGATTGAAAACTTTTTGGCATATGTAGAATACTTCATCCCTAAGCAAACAGCAGGTCCTTCCGAAGAGAAACAAATATCTTACATCATATAGTAATAGCAAGCCTACACATGTCTGATAGAAGAAACTTTCGCGGCAGTCAAAATTCTCCAGCTGTCAAGCTAGAAGCAATCGCTTCTCCCCCAATAATTTGCACTTTTTCAGCCTCAGCCAAAATAAAAATAAAAGGTGGAAAAGAAAAGGGCCTGTCAGACTGTTTTGTGTCCACTTGCTCTTCTTGCAAAAACCTAATTGCGATAAAAAATGATGCGGTAGCTAAATTTAAAACTAGGTTGGGCCCGTCATATTTATTCTTGCAAAGCGTGACTTAAGATTGGGTATATGTCTGCACTAATTACTTGTCTTGTTGGTTCGACATAACACACCGGTAGGTCAACGCGCACCATTGCACTAGCTATCGTGTAGTAAGTATGTAAGTATGCCGCCACATGCGCACGCCAGACCACCATAGCCACATTACCGGACGAATTGGCAAGGTGTTTTATTTTTCTGGCGGCGACGGCGGCGGCGACACCGGGCGTGTCCGTCCAGGCTAATTAGTAAGTGTGTAGCTTGCATGTATGCGCAACACGCAAAATACCTGTTTTATCTCTCTATCCATCTCTTTTACCTCTTCACCTTGCCTAAATACAAGGAAGTAGCATCGGTGCACTTATGTAACAGTAGGCGAAGATAGATGATGCACGATAAGCACGTCACGCATACTAATTCGCCGTTGTACATACATACTGACGAGACACTTATCAACCCACAACAAGGCTAAATTGACATATGCATATACCGAAACCAAGCCCTTCGCCTTACTGCTGTATTCCCCCTACCCCCTCCTTCCCAAACAAAAGAAAAACCCCCGCCCCACCCTAACGCTGAGCGAGCTGGGCAACGCTGGGCAAAACTGCGGGGTCCGCAACCGCACAAACAGACCTCTCACCTTCCCCCCCCCCTTCACCTTTTTTCTCCAACCAGCCAACCCGAGCTCACAAAAAAAAACCCCCCCTTACACCTATATACCACCTACATAATCCACGCTGCGCCAATGTCCCCCCCTTCCCCCCCGCTCACCCAAGTCGCCGACCTTAGCCGCGTCCCGTACAATCCACGTTTTGCTCAAACGCCCGTGCTTGCATATGTTTAGCATAGAGTACCACTCTGAGCGCACACGCGCAGGAATTTTTTTTTTCCCACGTGCGAAAGCTGCAGGATGCGTGTTTCAGAAGTCGGTATGTGCGTGTTAGAGCTAAGTTAAGGTAAAAGTAGGCAAAATGCGGTTTGCTTTTTTGTGGAGCGGGAAGGGGGGAACGGGTGGCTTAGGGATGTTGTTGTGTTTTAGTCTTCCCCGTGTGTACCTACTTGGCTTGCGTAGGGGAATGTGGGGGAGGGTTGGAGATAGTGGTGATCGTGATGGTTGTAGGCGCCGAGGTGGGTTTTTGTCCGGGGGTTTACCTGGTATGTTGAGGGAGGGGGAAAGAGGAAGCGCTGGATACGTGTGCAAGGAGTGTCCTGTATTTTTTTTGGGTGTTGGGGAATTTTTGGTGTGGTTGGGTGGGCATGCGGGGTTGGAGGGGCTACTACGACTACCGGTACGGGTACGTCCTCGTGTGAGTTACGGATAAGAGCCGAACGCCGCATTTTTTCGACTGCCGAGTAGGGAATTTACCAGTAAGGTGTAGTATGTATGATGCAAGGTTCGCCAAGAGCTAAGTCGAACTTTCTTATCTTTTCTTTTTCTCGTTGTTTCCGGGGGAGGGGATGCTGGACACATTTTGCCTTTTTCCCTTCTGGTGTCACAGATCAGCATCGCTACGATCACTTTGATGTTTTTGTGTACCATCCTTTTTTTTTGGAGAGAGATAGTCAGGAACAGTGCCATGCCCACTTGCCACATGGCAGCCACATTCTCAACGGTTGTACCCACAACTATATTTTTCCTTTGCTATTACTTTTGGAGTTATAAAAAGATCTGAGATTCAGGAACTTTGTTCCATAGA